TTATTGATGGTTTTGTGTGATAAACTCAAACTGAAAAAAGTGCTTCTGTGCTTTTTTTTAAACATTCTTTAAAATATCTTCTCAACAGTTTTGCAAGTAAATTTGTTATTACAAGGATTTTTGATGATGTTATTGTGAAATACTAATTATGAAAATGACTGTACTTGTCATATCTGCTAGTCAAAAATGTGCACGAAAATTGTTTTCATCATCTAGGTTTTATTTCCTTGAACAAAACTAAACCTAGTTTTATCAAGAATGCAAAATGAAAAGCACTAATGAAAATAAGCACCTGTCAGACATTTTTTCCAGCCTATTAAATTCATTGCAGCATGATGCATGTTTGTGATATTTTTTGTAAACCGCAAGAACAGGTTTATCTTGAAATGCTATGGTCGTGAGGTGAGTGATGCAGCCTTCTAAAAATGTGAGCGCACAGCCCATGAAGAATCATTTCAGGCTGTATCTGATCCCATAACGTGAGAAGAACTACAGGTAAGTACAGTATGTTTGTGCAGTTTGACAATTGGGAAGGCAGTTTTACTCTGATATATCTTTAAGAGTATTATTATTCACAGATGTACATAATCAGTAGAATCCAATGCAGTTACAAAATCAGTTTTTAATGAAGTTACATTTCCCTGGGTTGTTGTGATTTTGTATGCTTTGCATAGGCACCATGGATCCAAAGCAAATGTGGAATCATGTGAAATCTCCTCCAATAACTAGTATAACTTGCCTTGGTATGGGAGTTTTACACCATAATCATTGTTACTTTTGTACTTAATGAACATAAAGTGTATTGACTCAAGTAATTTTTTTTTGACTGATTTGTATTTCAGTTATTACAAAACTGCTATGCCTGGCTCTTCCCATTGCTCAGATTGCAATAGGTGCGTTACAGTGAATGTATGTACTGTAGTTATTCCTCTGCTTTTACATTCCATTATTTAAGTGCTCTTATGTTGCTTACCATCACAGGTGCAGTGTATCTGCAAGACTGTCCCCGGCAGCA